CATCAAAATAAAGAGCCTATATATAGACAATACAAAACAAACTCGATAGTCTCAAATCTAAGTAATTTAATCTATGAATAAGATCAAATCTAAATATAAATCTACTAAATCTAAAACTGAATATCTAAAATATCTCAGTATGATTTTTTATTGTTTTGAATCTCTGGTATATCTTTCACGGATTTATCAGGATAGTAAAGCCTATCAGCCATAGTTTGAACAAGCGCGCCAATGGCAATGAAGTACAACGCCATTGCGTAGGCAAGGTGACGCCATTGGCGCAACCTTCCCGGAGTTCCCATTCTCCGGTGAGCCGCAGCTAATCTCGACAACCACAAAGGGATAGAAAAGAATGTTGGTTTGATTTAGTGCGCTCTTGAGAATGTTACCATAGCCTTTATATAGTAACAAGATTCAATCATCGAGTTAATTTTTTTATAACACAACCAAAAATAAAGCTTAAAGGACAGAATATCAATCATAGGGTTCGATGAGTGCTACCCCTCGTTGGTACAATTTCAATCCAATTTCTTGTGCATTTGTAAGAGAAGTCAAACCCTAAGAATTGGTGTCTGAATGTTCTTCCCTATTTGGTATATGCATCCCTAATTCTGCTTGTAATTTTATGTGTATAAATACAATTAAGTAATAGCAAATTCTAAATGCTTAAACATTCAATTTGTTGGAGACATGTTGACAGGTTAGTTTTTATATACTGCTCCCTCCATAGATAATAGTAGACACCAAAATTTAAAAGGAATATAATTAGTAAATAATTAAATATATATATTAGTAAAATTAATTATAATATAATACAAATAATTATAAATCAAGATAGTTAATTTAATAAAAAAAATTAAAATTATATGAGTAAAATTTAAAATAGAATTAATATATGATTAAAAAGTGACATAATATATGAGACGGACAAAAATTGAAAGTATGGCATACATGTGAAACGGAGAGGATACAAATTTTTACTTTTCCTTTTTTCTTCTTTATTGTGAATATGATTTGCTATTTGTCTATTTTTGTCATGGCTCAACTCATTGGATATTTGAAATGTTTCATGGATTAGTTTTTGAAAATTGACTTGAACATGTGTCTTATCATAATACTTTTACTACACTAATGCCACATAGACATTTTCATGCTGGAGGACCAAATATAAAAAATATTTTTACTTACGGAATTATCTCAACACAAACTTTAGTTGTATAATTAAAATGATAAAAGAGCTCGAAATTTTTTTAAAAATAAACAGTTTACCCAAAGTAAATTTGTATAGAGATTTGAAGAGAGAGACCCCTAGAGATAGAAATACTAAGTGAAATTATCCTGAGTGATCTCATAAATATTATGATTGTATTCCTAGTTTTCCCAACTCATCTACCTAAGTAGCTTTTAACCAATTGTTACTTTTTATGTTTCACTTTTAATAAACTCCATCTATCCCTCCCACTTTGAAACTTACCTTCCAAACCCACAGCTAGTTCGAATCGCCTGAGCTTGATCCTCTCTCTCGATTAATTGACGGCGACAGTAGAACAATGTTTGTCCATCTCCTCGCCACCACTCAACAAAGGAGGACCATCGGCGCAGCTACATTGAAGGGTAATGACGAGAATCACCGGGAGACGGTGAATATTTTTTATGTCATAATTTATTCTATTTATATTTTTCTTAATAAAAAAATATTTTAAAATAAATTATAAAATTTAATCCAAACTCTTGAAAAATAAATAAATGTTCAGTATCAAATCACTACTATCTATCACAATCTCTCAAACTCAAACAAAACCTAGTAGGCCAAAGAAATTACAGCTTCTCAAAACTACCAAAGATTCAAATCCAAATGAAACACAAACTAATCTTTTCCAAACCAATCTCAAAGGAAAACACCCGGTGATTTTCGTTCTCTATGTATTGAAATTGATTTCAAGTTTCCAAAGTGATTGGAAGTGTACCTGTAGATGGAGATTAAAGTAGTTCAACCGGATGAGATGAACTTGTAAGCAAATTTACTTTCAATTAGACGGTTACTCGGTATTATTATATGGTGTGATAAACAGTTTTTTGTACATTGCGATGTAAAAAAAAGCCAGAGGCTAAGAGAAGATAATAAATGTTGTAGGTTTGTTGTTGTCGAGTTAATGTACTATTTGGTTCTAGGTATTTAGTGAATATCTCCTGAGTTAAAATCTATCATATGTATTTAACATCAAATTGAGTCATAAAAAAAATATTATATATGTATATATCAAATTTACCACATGATACCATTTGAGGTTTTTTTTTTTTTTTTTAACAAATTTTACTATTCTTTAAAAATAGGCCGTCTTCGTCCCAGTCATATGTATCATTTTTACAATTTCTGTTTGTCTAATGTATAGGTATATTTTTCCTATTATAGTAACTTTTACGTAAATTACCAAAAACTATATAATAATTTTATATATAAAATATCAAAATCATCTTACATAATTTTAATAATCAATCAAATATAATTATAGAAAAATTGTACATTTGACCTGGACGGAGGAGTATTAATATTTTATATAAAACACCACATTCAACAATTATATGTTTCACTTAAAATTCAAAATGCAGAAACAAAATAAAGAAACACTCGAAAGTGAGTGATGGGAACATAATTGAACTAAACATTAAAATGATACATTGCTGATAAAGCATATATTATTCTATATTTTTATAGATAAATTATAAAATATAATTAATATTATGGATAGATTTCTATTCAATTTTGAAATATTATTGATTGGTGCAAGGGAATTGAGTGATTGACCGTCATGCCAAATTTTCGATCAAAGAATTATGGAAGAATTTGATTTAAGCATGTGTGCCAAGGAAACTCGTGATTTAAAAGAATTGGTAGCATGATTATAGTATGGAAATGAATAATTAAAGAGCGATTAAAAAGCCGATTGAAAGCTTAATTGTCTATAAAAGGAGGATCAAGGCCTTAGATGGGATATCATAATTTACACTCACATTTCATAGCTTGAAGGATTAGGGGAGTCGTTATGAAAGAAATAGCTACCGGGAGATCATCGTTATCTTTATTTTATCGCTTTCATTTATTTTGAGCATGAGTAGCTAATTTTCTATTTTAGTCCAATGTTGAATTTAGATTTTGGATTTGTATTTGTGAGATTATGTTTTCATTTAAATTAAATTTTGTTTATTAAAATGGTATTTGTACAATTTTTGTAATTCATGTCTATATAATTATTTTATTTAATCTTTTACTGCAGCTGAATTTTAGATCGGTTTATCAATTGTGTGTCATTCGAACATTTGAATCTATAATTCTGTATTTGTTTGATAAAGTGGTAAATAGATTCACAAGTGTAGTCTAGGAATTTTATGATCGGATAATTTAATTTTTTCATAATTGATTGAATATTTGAATTGAGCTATTTTCAATTAGAAAAATTAATTTATGGTCATACCTAAATTATTTCTTTCATTAGAGCAGTCAATCGGTCGTATCATTGCCGCCAATAATATAAGAAAAAATTGGGTATTATGATTGCATCTAATGCCTACGATCAATTTATCAATTAAATAACAAGATTATTTAAAATCGATGATTCAATTTTTAATATGGTTTCTTATTTATTTGTTGGACTAAAAATTTGATCTCTTTGGAATCAAATTTTTATTTTCGATTTCTTATTTTAATTGCCTTAATTGAATTTGCTAATTTATTCCTCCAATACTTGAAATTATTATATAATAGGAATTAAACATCACAGTCTCTTAGGAACCACCGAGACTACCGCGCTGGAATTGAAAAATGACTTGGAAATAAATGGACTGAAATTAAAGGCTAAAAATGAATGGAAATGGAAATTAAAGTAATTAAGAATTGAATTGAAAAGAATAGCTTAGATGTAAATTCATAATTAAAACACAAATTAGGAAAGTATATTACATAATTAAATTAAGAAAAGCAATAAAACAGAAAAAATGAAGCTAATTTCTTCAACTACAAGTGATCCATGATCTCATGTTTTCCTCAACTCCGTAGTCAAACCTTATTTTGCACATTTGACTAATTCTATTAGTCAAAATGATTAGGCTTCGATTTGGGCTAAAGATGTAGACCTTCTTCTTGGACTCAATTTTTTAGGCCTCTATTCCAAAGTCATGGGCTGTTGGGCTCGCTTGATGTTGTTGGACTGTGTCTAATATTATTGAACCTCACTCCATGCTGCAGAGACTTCCCTTAACGTTTTCGGGCCTCACTTGATGTTGTTGTGCCTTGCTTGGCATTGGCTCGATGCTGCCAGTCTCGCTCAATGTTGTTGGACCTTCGACCAACCATTGCTTTTGGGTTTATCACAAACTTTGGAACTTCTCTATCGAGTCAAACATTGATTACTTTTAATTACCTCAGATTTTGTTCATGTAAAGCCTCATCGATTGGAGATATTTTGAGGCGTAGATAACAATATAAATGCTTCAAACAACAGATTACATATATGCTTATTGTATGTGTATAAAGTATTAACATTACAAGAAGCAAAAGCCTTGCAATTGCATTCAATTTTAAAAGCTACTGCCTCGAAATTATATTTGTAATGATTAATTTTATCGAATTTCATTGCTGGATTCAATGGCCTTGATCGCGCGAATTGCGTCCAATTATGCTGCCATTCCACACATCATAAAATTTGGAGCTCTAATGTTGTTAGTATTAGCTTTAATGAAATTACTGATAAAAACTTGCATTTAATTTCAACCATTAAATTTTTTTATTTGGACAGTCTAGATGCTTTCACATCAAGAACTGGTGTGTGTACATATATATATATATATATATATATGACCTATTGATCATTAAAGTACGATTATCTTAACTTCATACTTCTTATCACCGTCTTTATGGACTCACAATCTGATCCTGCAGATTGATTCAATTACTACACACTGTTGATATATGATTCAATGAATACAGATTATGGTTTATCCAATTAGATATTTGTTTTCCAAACTAAAAATAAACAATTTTCAATTCAATGGATTAGAATGTGAACACATTAGGATCTTCACAAGAAATCCTTATTTTTTTTGGAATACAAATAAGCTTAAAGAGAGTAATTTGAATCACAATCACATAAATATCGATCCATCAAGGACGATAGGCGAATTTATATAAACATAGGCTTAATATATAAAAAAAAAATAATTCATCCAATTGTGCAAGCAAAAACTAAGGTGGGTTTAGTAATGCTGGTGTGGTGATGAGATTGGTGTTATGATTAATAACCACGGGGATGCGGCAATGACTTATAGATATACGGTGGAGGAGGCGATGGAGATGGTGGAGGCGGTGACTTATAAATATACGGTGGAGGAGGCGATGGAGATGGTGGAGGCGGTGACTTATAGATATACGGTGGAGGAGGCGATGGAGATGGTGGAGGCGGTGACTTATAGATATACGGTGGAGGAGGCGATGGAGATGGTGGAGGCGGTGACTTATAGATATACGGTGGAGGAGGCGATGGAGAGGGTGGAGGTGGTGACTTGTAGACATATGGTGGCGGAGGTGATGGGGATGGTGGAGGTGGTGATTTATAGATATAAGGTGGTGGAGGTGATGGGGATGGTGGAGGTGGAGACTTGTAGATGTAAGGAGGCGGTGGTGATGGAGATGGTGGAGGTGGTGATTTATAGACATATGGAGGAGGAGGTGAAGGTGATGGAGGAGGTGGAGACTTGTAGACATATGGGGGTGGCGGCGATGGAGAAGGTGGAGGGGGAGATTTATAAATATACGGAGGGGGAGGTGATGGAGATGGTGGTGGTGGTGACTTGTAGATGTATGGAGGCGGTGGTGATGGAGATGGTGGAGGGGGTGACTTGTAAATATAAGGAGGCGGTGGTGATGGAGATGGTGGAGGCGGTGACTTGTAGATATATGGGGGTGGCGGTGATGGAGATGGTGGAGGAGGCGATTTATAAATATATGGGGGTGGCGGTGATGGAGATGGCGGAGGAGGTGACTTATACACATATGGTGGTGGCGGAGATGGGGACGGTGGAGGTGGAGACTTGTAGACATATGGAGGAGGCGGGGATAGAGACGGTGGAGGCGGTGACTTGTAGACATAAGGTGGCGGAGGTGATGGTGATGGTGGCGGTGGAGACTTGTAGACATATGGAGGCGGTGGTGATGGAGATGGTGGAGGCGGTGACTTATATACATACGGTGGTGGCGGAGATGGGGATGGTGGAGGTGGAGACTTGTAGACATATGGAGGCGGTGGTGATGGAGATGGTGGAGGGGGTGACTTATATACATACGGTGGTGGCGGAGATGGGGATGGTGGAGGTGGAGACTTGTAGACATATGGAGGAGGCGGGGATGGAGACGGTGGAGGCGGTGACTTGTAGACATAAGGTGGTGGAGGTGATGGTGATGGTGGCGGTGGAGACTTGTAGACATATGGAGGCGGTGGTGATGGAGATGGTGGAGGCGGTGACTTATACACATACGGTGGTGGCGGAGATGGGGATGGTGGAGGTGGAGACTTGTAGACATATGGAGGCGGTGGTGATGGAGATGGTGGAGGCGGTGACTTGTAGACATATGGAGGCGGCGGTGATGGAGATGGCGGAGGAGGTGACTTATACACATACGGTGGTGGCGGAGATGGGGATGGTGGAGGTGGAGACTTGTAGACATATGGAGGCGGCGGCGATGGAGATGGTGGAGGTGGCGACTTATAAATATAAGGTGGTGGAGGTGATGGAGATGGTGGAGGCGGTGACTTGTACACATAAGGTGGTGGAGGTGATGGGGATGGTGGCGGTGGCGGTGGAGACTTGTAGACATAAGGAGGCGGTGGTGACGGAGATGGTGGAGGCGGTGACTTATACACATATGGTGGTGGCGGAGATGGCGATGGTGGAGGTGGAGACTTGTAAACATATGGAGGCGGCGGTGATGAAGATGGTGGAGGCGGTGACTTGTACACATAGGGTGGTGGAGGTGACGGTGATGGTGGCGGTGGAGACTTGTAGACATACGGAGGCGGCGGTGATGGAGATGGTGGAGGCGGTGACTTGTAGACATATGGTGGTGGCGGAGATGGGGATGGTGGAGGTGGAGACTTGTAGACATATGGAGGCGGGGGTGATGGAGATGGTGGAGGCGGTGACTTGTATACATAAGGTGGTGGAGGTGATGGTGATGGTGGCGGTGGAGACTTGTAGACATATGGAGGCGGCGGTGATGGAGATGGTGGAGGCGGTGACTTATAAATATAAGGTGGTGGAGGTGATGGAGATGGTGGAGGTGGTGACTTGTAAACATATGGTGGTGGAGGTGATGGCGACGGTGGAGGTGGTGACTTGTACACATAAGGTGGTGGAGGTGATGGTGATGGTGGTGGTGGAGACTTGTATACATATGGCGGTGGCGGTGATGGAGATGGTGGAGGAGGAGATTTATAAATATACGGGGGTGGCGGGGAAGGTGACGGTGGTGGTGGTGACTTGTAAATATATGGGGGTGGTGGTGATGGAGATGGTGGAGGAGGCGACTTGTAAATGTAGGGAGGCGGTGGTGATGGAGATGGTGGTGGAGGTGATTTATACACATAAGGAGGCGGTGGTGACGGAGATGGTGGAGGCGGTGACTTGTACACATAAGGTGGTGGAGGTGATGGGGATGGTGGTGGTGGTGATTTATAGACATAGGGAGGTGGCGGAGATGGAGATGGTGGAGGTGGCGACTTATATACATAAGGTGGTGGAGGTGATGGTGATGGTGGCGGTGGAGACTTATACACATAAGGTGGTGGAGGTGGTGACGTATATTTGTATGGTTTGTAATCTTTAGAAACTTCCGGTATATCTTTCACGAAATGATCTGGATAGTAAAGCCCATCGGCCATAGTTTGAACAAACGCGCCAATGGCAACAAAGTACAGCGCCATTGCGTAGGCAAGGTGGCGCCATTGGCGCAACCTTCCCGGAGTTCCCATTCTCCGGTGAGCCGCAGCTGATCTCGACAACCAAAAAGGGATAGAAAAGAATGTAGATTTTGCTTTAGTGTGTTCTTGAGAATGTTACCATAGCCTTTATATAGTAACAAGATTCAATAATTCAGTGTATTTTTTATAACACAAAGTAGCTGCCAGAAAGAATGTTCAAAGCACAAAATGTCAACCACAGGAGTCGATGAGTGCTACCCCTCGTTTGGACAAACCCTAATAGCTGGTGTCTGAATGTTCTTCCCTATTTGGTAAATGAAACCCTAATTTTTAATTACACAAATACAATTAAATTATAGCATTTCTGAATGTTTGAACATTCAATTTTAAAACGTGTTGAAAGGTGCTTTTAATCTGTAACTAATACAGCTGGTTGGAGGGTATTATTACATTGACAAATTAATTTTTATTTATTACAACATGAAAGTATATTTCAGCTATTTTGCCCTGGAATATGATGTTCTACTTGTCGATTTTGTTGCATTTCAAAGCATTGGGGATTGAAATTTTTTGAATTGATCATTCTTGAATTTTTTTTTTTAAATTAGCTTAATTAAATAATTTCATGTGATTAGTTCTAGTTGTTCTCCTCGTTAAGTAACAGCTGTCAATGAGCTTAATTAACTATGATGAAATAATTTCATTAGAAAGAAGATTGTGTACTTGTGAACCCCAAATACAAATTATTCAATTCCTATTCTGAATTTGAATATTTGGAAGTTAAAATTAATAGTGGTTAATGATGTGCATTTTTATAGAGTTTAGGTAATGAAAACAATGTTTTTGTATGGGAAAAATATTTTTTTATTGTAAATGTATAATGCGAAAAGAAAATAATACTCTTCCGCCCCAGATACCATGTCCACGTTACCGTTTATGTCCGTCCCACGTACCATGTCACTTTTTTTTTTTTTTGAAAAATGATTACACACTTTAATCTCATTTTATTTTTTTTAATTTTAATTAAACTAATTTATAATTATTTATATTATAGGATAATTATTTTAACTATTACATTCTTAATTATCTACTAATTACACCCCTCCTAAAATACCGTGTCTACAATGTACCAGACACGTGTATCTATTTGGAACGGAGGGAGTAGTAAAGTAAAATTAGGAGGGAGTAGTAAAGTAAAATTAAATTAATTGATAGTACAAAAATATTCAGTTTATTATAAATAATGTCTCTGAAAGTCAAATATTATAAAGCATCATGTATCCGGTGGTTGGCTTATAAAGAAGGGATTTTATAAAGTACATTATTTATTGCTTAAGCTTGGGAATGTCTTTGTTTTTAATGGGAAAATAATTATTAAATATGATGTTTTATATTGAAATATGATATTTTGATGTAATTTTTATTAAAATGAATGATTCAATAGCATAGATTAAAATGAAATATACATAATAATGAAAAAGAAGAAGGCCTGTTTGGATTAGTTTTGTGGAGGGGTTTCTTATTTCTATGACTTGTTACTTTTGTTTAAAAGCAGAAAAAAATAATAATAATAAAAAATAAAAAAATTTAGAATTAAAATTATTTTATAATAATAATAGTAATATTAATAGTAATAACATAATATAATTAAAAATAATTAATTAATATATTATAATTAAACTAAAATTTAAAAACATAATCACATTTTTATTTTAAATTTATATATTATATATAAATCTAAATTTAAAAATATAATTGTAAAATCAAAATTAAAAAATATAGAAGTTTAGTTATACTACATAATTTAAAATTTTAAAATATGATTTACAATATTTTAGAATAAATTGTCAATGAATACCCACTTTTTAATCATTTTGGCATATGGACAAATCCCATGTTGTGTTCATTTTCCATTTCCAGAGCTAAGGTTGCAAAGACTTGATGACGTGGGAAAATGCAATCGCTACTTGCAAGTACGTACTGAGTAAACCTCGGATTGAACTTAATACCCTGCAAACTAAATCTGACCGGTAAGTTACAGTAGATGAACCATGCGTGGCAAGTAATCCGGAGGCGTCAGGGGTTTGAATCCATGACCTCACGGTATAAGTCCACCTGACGAGACTACTCTGTAATTGTTGTCGGTACACGTATGTGACAACCAAAGCCTGTGGAGGTGTTCCAAAATCAGCCTTTGTAGAGGAAATGAGTTGAAGGAGTTTGTGGTTGCTTTCATTCTATAATCAAAATCGATTATAATTGAAATCACCCACATGTACGTTGATTTATAATCCAACTGGGTCACGAAATGTCTATCTCATTCATTGTTTTGGAGTTTTGTATTTACTTTGCTGACAGGATGTTGTTATTATTGTGAGATAACCATGTTTTGCAGAGTTAACCCTTTTTTTTATGTACAAAGTTGATTTGGTCGAACCCAGTTTTCAACCTAAATTATGGAGTAGAATTAATTTGAAGAAGACTATATAGAATTGTTAAATTCAATCGGGTTAATCGAAGAAGATGAAGAAGGAGAAGAAAGCGTCTTGTAGTGTATGTTTGTTTGGTGATAGTTTGAAATTAATTTGAAATGAAATGTCAACTTGAATTTTTTGTTTAAATAATATTTTAATATAATATTTTATTAAAAAAATGGTGCATTTTTATCGAAGAATACGGAGAGTAAATAAATTGGTTTGAGTTTAAAATTACAAAAAAAAAAAAAAAAAAAAACCTAAATTTAGGTTAAATTTTACTTTTTCATTGTAATAGTACCCTAAGAGCCGTCGCCTCCTTGACCCGTTTAAATGCGCGCCTTGAAATCGTTACAATTTATAATACAAACATGAATATCGCACCACCTAACTTCTTTTATAACTCAAGTAATTAAAAATACCTTTGATTCTTGAGTAAATCACAACTATCCGAAATAGTTTAATAACACCTTCATCATCAACATCAAATTCATCACACGTTGAGCCATAAATTAGTTTAATTACATGTAACATAACAAGTATCACCTATTGAAAATGTAATAAGAAATAATAAGAATTGGAATTTTCATTTTCATTGGTTCTCTCATTCTTGTAATAGCATATATACCAAGTAACAAGGGTTTCTTTACATGTATGGTTTTCTATTTGATATTTTATTATTTAATTTTTCAATTTTCTGCTAAAAACATTTCGGTCATTTATCATTCTAAAATATCCAAATAAAATAAAATAAACAAATAAGTAGACTAATAAAAAAAGAAAATAAGGATTATTATTCAAAAATAAAAAGAACATTGAATATCCATTGAATTCCAAAAAATACAAATGATACAAACGAAGTGAAAATCACATAAGAAAGGATCACAACCAGTCCTTGCTTACAAACTTCCACGCATGCTTAGTTGAATTAACAAATGATAAAAAAAAAATGGAAAATGAAATTAGCATAGCATTTCTTGACATGAACTTCTGTAGAACAGGTAGGTAAGAATCGAATATGATGGGTTTGGACAGCATCAATAGTACTTTGGTGGCGGAGGGGGTGACGAGTAATAATATTTTGGATGCTCTGTATGCTTCAAAGGTATTAGCGATTTGTAATCATGCTTCGGAAGCTCTACATGTTTAGGAGGAGGTGGGAATGTGTAATGATATGGCGGAGGTGGTGAAGGAGACGGCGGAGGTGGAGAGTTGTAATGATATGGTGGTGGTGGAGAAGGAGAAGGCGGAGGAGGCGGGGAGTTGTAATGATATGGCGGAGGTGGCGAAGGAGAGGGCGGAGGTGGAGAGTTGTAATGATATGGTGGTGGTGGGGAAGGAGAAGGCGGAGGTGGGGAGTTGTAATGATATGGCGGAGGTGGCGAAGGAGATGGTGGGGGTGGAGATTTGTAATAATATATTGGATCCTTTACATGGTTTGGAGGGGGCGGGGATTTGTAATAGTACGATGGAGGCGGAGGAGATGGAGGTGGTGGTGACTTGTAATAATATTTTGGATGCTCAACCAATTTGGGAGGAGGTGGTGAATTGTAATAATATTTTGGATGTTCTACTGGTTTCAAAACTGGTGGTAACTTGGGATAATACTTTGGATGTTCAACTGGCTTTGGAGGAGGTGGTGACTTGTAGTAATATTTTGGATGTTCTACTGGTTTCAAAACGGGTGGTAACTTTGGATAATACTTTGGATGTTTAACTGGTTTTGGAGGTGGTGGTGACTTGTAGTAATATTTTGGATGTTCTACTGGTTTCAAAACGGGTGGTAACTTTGGATAATACTTTGGATGTTTAACTGGTTTTGGAGGTGGTGGTGACTTGTAGTAATATTTTGGATGTTCTACTGGTTTCAAAACGGGTGGTAACTTTGGATAATACTTTGGATGTTTAACTGGTTTTGGAGGTGGTGGTGACTTATAGTAATATTTTGGATGTTCTACTGGTTTCAAAACGGGTGGTAACTTGGGATAATATTTTGGATGTTCAACTGGTTTTGGAGGTGGGGGTGACTTGTAGTAATATTTTGGATGTTCTACTGGTTTCAAAACGGGTGGTAACTTTGGATAATACTTTGGATGTTTAACTGGTTTTGGAGGTGGTGGTGACTTGTAGTAATATTTTGGATGTTCTACTGGTTTCAAAACCGGTGGTAACTTGGGATAATATTTTGGATGTTCAACTGGTTTTGGAGGTAGGGGTGACTTGTAGTAATATTTTGGATGTTCTACTGGTTTCAAAACCGGTGGTAACTTGGGATAATACTTTGGATGTTCAACTGGTTTTGGAGGTGGTGGTGACTTGTAGTAGTATTTTGGATGTTCTACAGGTTTCGAAGGCGGTGGTGACTTGTAGTAATATTTTGGATGCTCTACTGGTTTCAGAACCGGAGGCACTTTGGGATAATACTTTGGATGCTTTGCTGGTTTTGGGGGTGGTGGTGATTTGTAATAATATTTCGGATGCTTAACATGTTTCGGAGGTGGAGAGGACTTGTAGTAATACTGAGATGGAGATTTAGGATATTGTGGATGTTTTAAATCCTTGACCAAAGGATTTGGTAGGTAAGACGAGTGTTTGAGGTTGGGAACAGAGTGCAAATGCGGCAATGAAGAAGAGTAAACGTGGGGCTTGTGAGCCGAAACTTGAATCGCTACGGCACAAAATGCGATAGCTAATATTATGAATAAGGGCAATTGCCCTAATTTGGCAAAGATCTTCATTTTAAGAAGCTAATAGTATCAAGTTTTGTTTGTGAACCATATTGGTGTATGTCTAAGCCCTTATATAATACAAGAATCCCTTCATCGAATTCGAACAAATTCATTGCCTAATTCCTACATTATTTGTTACATGATCATGGGAGGCAAGTATTGATGTACTAAATGATTTTCACGACGTGCTTTGTCCCTATAATTATTGAATAATAGTATAATGTAAGATCTATTATATATGCTTTACTCATTACAATAATATTACAGCTTTGCACGTATTGTTTAGTCACCCCACGAAGCACATTCTAGTGTTAAATATTTTAATTTGTTTATTTTCCAAATATTAAACATGAACATAATCGAATCTCTCTTTTCATTTAAAATTTTGTGTTAATATATATTTTTAAAGTCTCATCCAATTCCAAGTGGGAGGGGGCTTAGCCAATAGAATATAAAAATGTATAATATATTATTTGAAAGACAAAAATTTCATAGAAATCCGTTAGACAGAAGTTTTTTGAAGATTTTTTAAAATTTAAAAAGTTTAAAAAAATAAAAATAATAATAATAATAATGTTCGATTTAATATATTATAAGAGAAAAAAATTTAGGTCAGAATTTTTTTGAAGATTTTTTAAAATTTAAAAATTTAAAAATAATAATAATAATAATAATAATAATGTTTGATTTAATATTTTATAAGAGAAAAAAGTTTAGATCGTATCTGATATTTTTCCAAGAATAAATAGTATTAAACAAGTGAAAATTAATTATATAAACAGAGCCGAAAAATAATTTTTAATTTTTAAATAATTACATTAAAAACCTAATTATACAAAAATTATATGAACGATGTTGGCTTCAAAAACTGAATTGAAGTCCAACCAGGCTTGAACCCTCGGCATGGCGCCGGGCTTATGGGCTAAGATTTATTTTGTCAGCTTTATAGTAATTTTTAAATATATTTTTTATATAAAATATTGTATTAAATATTAATTATGTTATTAATAAATTTTCAAAATTTAATTCAAGCGGAGTCTTGTAAAAAAAATTAAAGATTCCAAAAAAAAAAAAACCCCACAAGAGCAAATGAATTAATACTATGATAGATGAAGGAATATAAATGGAGAATAAGTTTCAAGAGAAGAGAATTCAAATCTAACTAGGTATAAGTTTTTCCTTATTTATACATATGTATATAAAATGGAAAATTAATTTTTTAAAAATGCTAAAAATGATTGTTTGATTTTGGTTTCATATCAAATTATTACTCCAAGCATATTTTAAATAAAAAAAATATATATATTTTTTTTTATAAAATATAAGATAAAGTTATATTTAAATAAAATACTCTCTTACGGAAATTTTTTAATATTAATATGATAGTAGTTTGTTGTAAAAAGGACAAAAATATATCATTAGTATTGTGTAATATAAAAGTAATGACATTTGTGTAATATAGTGTAAGTTGGAAGAATATTTATATGTTATGTAGGTAGTATAATTACTAAATTAAAAAACGATAACTTTATTTTTGGACAGACAAAAATGAAAAATTGCAACATTTCAATAGTATTAGCTAATAAAAATTCAACCTCAAATCAAAACCAAGCAAACCATTAGTTGTGGGAAGGCAATCCTAATCAATTTTTATATTCGACATCAGTCCTTTACTTTCTACATTTACATATTTTTAAAGATTTTTTTTTTTCTATATACAGTTTTTATGTATAAGTGGATATTATCGTTATGAAACTTTTCCCCCCTTTTTTATGAGTTAGTGACTATTGTCGTTGAAGAAATTTATTAAAAATATTTATTTTCCCTATAATATGTTTGTTTAGTATTATTATGTTTGTTTGATTGTTTTAATTTTTAGATTTTGCCTTCCAACATATAGTATAATTTCAATTTATTTTTTATTTTTGCTATTTAAATTTGTTTGATATATTCATATAATCTAATAGTTTTCTATTTACGAGGTTAATGCAACTTTTTGGGAGAAGACTACAATCTGGATGTCGAAAACTATTCATCATACCAAAACGGGATCAGATCAGCAGCATTAAAAGCTCACAATCCTATTTGCATAATCACTTATTGGATATATATTGCTGATATGATCCCGTTTTAGAATCAAATCAGCAGCCCCATCTTGGTCCAACCTGGATCATCACATAGTTGATGTATACAAACACATGTATGTATGTATAAAATACACACATGTTTATATATAAAGTCATTTTATACATGTGTGTATGTATACACCCAATGGGTGATGATACATATGGATAGGATTGGGAACCTTTTGATGTTGTTGATCTGATCCCGCTTTAGGATCAAATCAGCAGCTCCATCCCCACCCAGCTTCATCTTCATCTTCATTTATTGGGTGTATACATACACACGTATGTATGCATATATGTAATGGGTGATGATTCAGATGGAGATGTGAGCATTTTTATATTGTTGACTTGATCCCGCTTTAAAATCAGATCAACAACTCCACCTCCACTCAGCCTCATTTATATTATCACCTATTTGGTGTATACATATATATATGTATATGCATATATGCACGTGTATGTATGTATATAGTCATTTTATATATATATATATGTATACATCCAATGTGTGATGATGCATATAGGGTTGGGAGTGTTTTGACACTGCTGATCTGATCCCACTTTGGATCAAATCAATAGGCCCATCCAATTCTAGTTTCATCTGCATCATCACCTATTAGGGGTGTACATACACGCGTGTATTTTCAAAGTCACCTTATACATACACATGTATGTATGTATACATTCAATGAGTGATGATGCAGATAGGATGTAAGCTTTTGATGATGTTAATTTGATTCATCTTTAGGATTAGTTAAGTATCCGTACCCCATATCAGCTCTATTTGCATCATCACTCATTGGGTTTATACATTCACGTGTGTGTATGCATACAGTAAACACATATGTATGTATAAAGTCGCTTTATATATAGACACATAAGTTTATACATACACATATGTGCACTGATACACTCAATAAGTGATGATGTAGATGAGGCTGAGAGTCTTTTTATGCCGCTGATCTTATCTAGATTTGAGATCACATCAGCAGATTCATCCTCACCCCAACCTCATGTGCATCATCACATATTAGCTATATGCAACAACGTGTGTATTTATAAAGTTATTTCATATATAAACACTTATGTATGTATATACTCAATGGGTGATAATCAAGATGGGGTTGGGAGTCTTTTGATCTTGCTTATCTGATCCCGCATTGGGATAGGATCAATAGCCACACCCCACACCTACCTCATCAGCATCATCATATATTGGATGAATACATACACTCAATAGGTGATAATGTGGATGGGGCTGAAAGCCTTTTGATGCTGCTGGTCTGATCCCGCTTTAGAATTATATCGCAGCCCCACCCCCCACCCAGCCTCATCTACATTATCATCTACTTGGTGTATACATATATATGTGCATATATAAAGCCACTTTATACATCCATAAGTGTGTGTATACGTCTAAGGTATGATGATGCAGATAGGGATGTGAGTCTTTTGAAGCAGCCTCTCCCACCTTAACCTCATCTGCATTATTACCTATTTGTGAATACATATCACTTTACACATACATATATGTGTATGCATACACCCAATGGATAATTATGCAAATGAGACTGGAAGACTACTACTTATCTGATCCCATGTTGAGATCAGATCAGCAGCCTCATCCCTACCCCGTATTTGCATCATTATCTATTAGGTGTAAATACATGTGTATATGTATAAAATACTCGTGTGTGTATATATAAAGTTAATTTATACATACACACATGTATATGTATACACCCAATAAGTGATGATAAAAATGAGATTTGGAGCCTTTTGATGTTGTTAATATGATCCCATTTTGGAATCAAATCAGCATCCTCACCCACACTCCTGCTTTATCACTCATTCGGTATATATATTTATGTGTATATGTATAAGTAGACACGTGTGTATATAAAGTAACTTTATATATACACATATGTGTATTTGTATACACCCAATGATTGATGATGCAAATGGGATTGAGAGCCTTTTGATATTGTTGATTTGAACCCACTTTAGGATCATATCAGCAGTCTCACCTCCACTCTAGCCTCATCTACATCATCACTTATTGAGTGTATACACCCAAATCTGTGTATGTTATACACAATACATGATGATGCAGATGGGGTTGGGCGCCTCTTGATGCTGCCGATTTTATTCTATTTTGGATCATATACCCAATGATTGATGATGCAGATGAGGTTTAGAGCCTTTTGATACTCTTGATTTGATCCCACTTTAGGATCATATTAGCAGCCCCGCCCCACCTCTAGCCTAGCCTAATTTACATCATCACTTATTGAGTGTATACACTCAGATCCATGTATGTTATACCCCATACATGATAATGCAGATGAGGCTGGACGCCTCTTGATGCTGATGATTTTATTCTGTTTTGGGATCATATAAGCAGCCCTACCTTCACCTTAGTCTCATATGTATCATCACATATTGAGTGTTTGCATACACATATGTGTATATATAATTTTATATATACACTTATTTGTATACATATACCCAATAGATGATAATGTAGAACAGGCTAGAAGCCTTTTGATTATGTTCATCTAATCCCGCTTTGAGATTAGATCAACAGTCCCACCCTCACCCAACTCTATTTTGATCATCAACTATTGGGTATAAAAGTACACACGTATGTGTCTGGGTAATAATACAAATGAGGTTAACAGTATTTTGATACTGCTAATTTGATTCCGCTTTGGAACTAAATCAACAACCCACTCAATATGTATTGATGCAGATGGGGCTGGGAGTTTTTGATGATGTTGATATAATCCAACTTTAGGATAAGATCATCAGCCTTGCTCCTACCTTAGCCCCATCTGCATCATCACCTATTGGGTGTATACATACACACATGTTTGTGTGTATATGTAACGTACACACGTGCGTAATATGTACACATGTGTTTATATATACATCCAATAGGTGATTATGCAGATACGGCCGGGTCCTTTTGATATTGTTGATCTGATCTCTCTTTTGGATTTGATCAACAGACCCTCCCCAACCCCAACCCTATCTGCATCATCACCTAATGATACGGATGTGGTTGGGAGCCTTTTGATGCTACTAATCTGATTCCCGTTTTTTTAGAGTAGATTAGCATCCCCACTCCCACTCCACTAGATCAGCATCATCACCTATTTGGTATACACATACACGTGTGTATGTGTAAAGTACAAACGTGTTTATAAATAAAATCACTTTATATATCTACACGTGATTTTGCATACACTCAATTGGTGGTGATGCAGATGGGACTAAGAGCCTTTCGATACTGGTGATTTGATCCCGCTTTGGGAGCATATCAGCAACACCACTCCGACCCCAGCCTTTTCTGCATCAACATTCATTGTGTGTACATAATATAGGAAAAATTGTTCATAACTCCCCTATAGTTTCGAAATTCAATGTAAACCCCCGTATATTTTAAAAAATGTATGACACATGTTATACCTTAAACAATATTGCATAAAACTCTTTGTCATGCAAAAAAAATATATATGAAAAATCATTTTCTCATCACAAGACATATAAAAATGGTTTAATACAAATATAAATGAGCGCAATGCAATTTTTTAAATACAGAAAATTAAGCTGAATTTTGAAACCATATCAGAATTATGGACAATTTTGTCTAATATATATTTTACATATTATATTAAGATACTATTTTGCTATGCATAGGTCTACTGCTATAATTTTATAAGAAAAAATTTTAAGAGAGATTGTATTTGTCAATATCAAACAATATAGAAATAAATATTGCAATATGCAATGGGTACGGTTTATTAATTACCAAGTTCTTTAAAAGGATATGTTAAAATGTCGAATAATATTATTCAATATCCTATTGACAACACAGCAAATATACGCGTGCAACATATAACAACACATAGTTTATAATACGAACGAACAACATATAACATATGTCATCATTGATTTTAGTACATATCAAATGTTAACAAATCATATATATTTTCTTCCGCCCACTCACAAAATATATATATTTCTATTTTGAATTGTCCAATTACAAAGTAATCATTTTTTTTAATAACTATAGACTCCACTTTTTTAAATTTCACTACTTTACCATCTAAAATTATCTTTTACACCATTTTTAATTACCAACCAGAGTGAGTAATATATATCTTACTACACGTAAATATACACAACATAGTATTGTGGCTAAATAGCATAATGTTGATTAGCCCCAATCGAATCATAGTAAGCCCGATTTTTTAAAATATGGCAATTCAGATGATACAATCGTCCGACAACAAATGTAGATATATTCTTTAATATGTACATCCACCTCTTAGCATATTTTCTTCATCCGCTAAAATCATGTCATTTTTTATTTTTTTTATCGTCTAAATCTATACACAATCTAGTAAACAATTTTACCTACCACACTTTAACATCAACATAGCATTATTTCTTAATCTCCATGTCCAACTGAATCTACATAATTTTACCGGACGAAGAAAATAGTAACTAATTGCCCAAACCGTAAGCATCATTATGTTGGTAGTCATCAGCATAAATTTCCTAGTTGAAAGAACTAAACTGTGAAAAAATGTCATGTACAAAACATCAAGCTAATGACCAGAATCATGTATAGTTTCTCTTTCTGTTCCAGAATCGGTTTATGCAGAAACCCTTTATTCACAAAACTGAACAACTTTTTAAAACACATATCAACTACTATGCCTGAGATTTTGTGACGCCCAAGCCATCAGTATCCACTGTTAAAAGTCTCAGATAATAAAACTAAATACTATGCATCATTGATTACCTAGAGCACACTCGAAGAATAATTCAGCGGATTCTCACATCATAATAATAAATAAATAAATAAACACTATGCATCATCGAAGTGTGGTTTAGCCAAAAATACCTCAGAAGTCAAGGTTTCAAATGAAATAATAATGCAAGTACTTACACAAGGCATCTTGAGGGAAAGCATCTATATCAAAGAGGGTTCATTCTTGGACCTTGCTTTTCTTCAACAACTTATAGAGAAAGGTCGAAGTGGGGCCTGTTCTATGTCTAATCAGCTACTTCACAAGGCAGCATTAGATGCCGTAAAATAGAAATAGTGAGAGCCAAATAAATTCAAGCATTTTGGAATATAAAAGCCAGATAAGGTTGTAAACAGTAATAACATTAATCAATCTATATTTTATCTTATAACAGCATTTATGAAATGGAAAACGGAACATATAAAAAGGAGAAACCATCCAGAAAGCTTTAACTAAAAGGCTACAAACCTTGAAAAAAACAAAAAAGAAAATTGGTAAAATGAAGCCCATTCTATGAAGTCCATCCCCCTTTTTAGTGCTTGGGTGCATCTATGATCACTTCCTTGTAGCAAATTGGACAAGCCTGTAGGACTAAAGCTTGTTAAAAAATCATTACACAGTAGTTTTTAGGGTGAAAATTTGAAAAAATGGAACCAAAAAAATTCTAGTGACTGACCTTATTGATACTAAGCCATCTGCCGCCACAATCAGTATGGTAGATGTGTTTGCATGGAAGAGTGATTCTCTTATCACCTCTTCTATATTCCATTTGGCAAATTACACACCTTTTTAATAAAACAAGAAATTCAATCAATTAGAAGTGAACTACATTCTTAAAGATGGCACCGAATTCAAACATTGTGTAGAGGCTATATGAATGAACAAAATATCGACATTCTTTTAATGAAAATATATCATGTATAATAGGGAACAGATAGTCTCTGCATTGTTAAGTCGGAATATAAATACGGTATCAATAAGGTCACATTAAAGAGGTGTGACATACAGGAGGCAAGGGCATTTATGCTTTACCAGAACTAAAAGTACATACTATAAACCCTTCCCACCAGCTGCTGTAGCATCCAATTATTGCATATACAACTTTCTAGGAAACGAACACCTACCTTACTGTCCTAGGGGTTGCCATCAAGCATATTTGGATATGAATTAAAGAAATTTTAAATTTTAATATCTGACCTACTAATCTACACAGTTTGTAAGTAGCAAGAAATGTCTTAACTTATGGTCTAGTTCCATTAATAGATATAAGAATTCATGAGCTATACAGGTTTCAATATGCAATCTGATTTTATCTATGAAATTATGATTTCCATTACCAAAGATTGGTTAATCAAATATGGAAAAAAAACATCTCAAAGCAGTCATATTTGAAAATGAAGATGAAAACTGAAAGGACTTTGCTGCCATGCATGATCATTTGCCAGGCAATAATATGAAATGCTTTGTTAAAACTAAGAGATAATTATCTCACCGTTCACCTCTGAACTTTTTTCTTGAGAATAAACCATACTTAAACTTTGATATTGGAAGCATGGCAATTTGAGCTTGAGAGAGACCCCTGTTTTGTGTTCCCACTGCCTCCCCCAGCTCCAGCAACTCCTATAAAAGCAAAAGAATCAATTGAATTCAGAAAACAGAACGATACTGATAAACAGAAATTCCAAGCTGATTAAGTATAATCCACAAAAAACCTGATCCAAAATTTATAAAGGAGATCCAACATAACATGTGTTAATTCATCCCATTCACTTAAAATAACACAGAAAAGGTTCCATACAAGTTGGATTGAGCATATTGCAAAAGAAAAATAAAAATGTATGCTTCAGCTCTGTACCAGTACAAAATGACAAATTTAGGAAAAATTTTTGTAAAAATAACAATGAATCAAATGAAACAAGACCCTTTACAGCAGTTCATATTATCACCAGAAAGTAATGAAGCCACCATTTTGTCCCATTTCCCTGTGCTTTTATGTCAATAAACACTGGACCAAGATCACAAAGTGCAGCTGGTATTTTTAGTTTTGATATTGCCCGTAGCATTAGGAAGATGTGCATTCCTAATGTAGTAGACACATAATTTGTTTGAACTAATCCCACAACTACTCATTTGTGTGGATATGTAGTACTCAATATCAGTAATTGTATATAAGACACTGTAGCATTAAACATCAAATCGGGTTGGCAGATAAAGCAGCCAAAAGATGATAAATAACTTTAACCTCCTACCTCATATGTCATGTTATCTGGATCAATGCCATCTTGCCAGACAACCTGAATTATGATATATTTGATCAACTGTCCATAAAATCATAAAGCACTTTACGAAAATTTAATTGCAAAAGGAATAAAAAACCTACCTCATTATCGCGAACATCCTGATGATTTCGAGGACCTGTAATGCAACAAACAATGATTATCTAAGCCATTGAATGGTCAAGAAAATGGTTCTTTTGCACAAGGAAACCAAACTAACCATGCAGAAACAGAAAGTTACAAAACAACAGGGTGATGAGTAGTCACTAAACCTATGAATAACAGAATTAATAAAATAGACATAAGTTTCTTGTACATTTTCATTTATGTAGGCTAATAACTTCGTAACTGATCTTTATGATCCACGGAAGAATTTAGCTTCCATTATTCCAGTTTAGCATCATAAGTAAATAGCATAGACCATGCCTAACCACAACAGAGTTAACGCAAATATGGATATTCGTGTCGAGCATTTCAAGTATAGGCATATATCAGAGCTTACACTCAATAGGTCGAGCATGTGAAGTGGATCGGGAATTTCCTTCCTGAAATACTGTCGAAGCTGTAGCCCGATCATCAGCCACCACAAAGGGGGGTTCCATCTGTCGGCTGTAATCATCACTACTTGGTATCTGATTATCAACCACATAGCCATTCCCATATTCATAGTATGATAAGCTTCCAGGTTCAGACACCGCGAACTTGTATGAACTAGCATTTGTTGCTGGATAAGAACTATAGGCATTCTCCTGTGCATAACATATATCAATCAAGCAGCACTCATCTGAATTCAATGCACTATTGAAACCCGAAGAAAATTAGAAACTCAAAAATAATCCACCATGGAAGCCGACAAGATAGTTTTGGCAGTGTACCTGGGTGTAATTTGTGTCGGCAAATATGTAATTTACATGATCATAAGTGAACACTTCAAGAAAATCTACAAAGCTTCCGATTGAATTATAGGGCAAAGAATTGTTTTGGTATTGAACTTCCACCGGTGGATTCCAACTCATTTTCGGAAAATATGCCTGGATCACCACAATAATATGGATCAAAATTAGTACCTTTTACTTGGTGGGGAATTCAATGTCACAAGAAAACAAAGAACTACACTTACAGATAAATAGTTGCTAATTTCAAGATTGCAGTCAAAGTTTAATTCGAAACCAAGATCATCCAAAATTTTCCAGAACCCAAAACTCCACGCTCACCTGCAATAAAATAAACAAATCAACCGTTACAATTTTTTTTTTTTTCTAGATTTGTTTTTCTAACAAAGTGATGCAATTTTCAACGTTTTCCAAAACTCGATGCAGGAAACCTTCCACGTTATCCTTCGAAGAAAACAAGCAGTAAAATTAACCACACCGCTAAAAAGAAACAAAAAACACAAAAATCAGAGAGATCATAACCAAGAAGCATAGAAAAACGCATAAAAAGAGGACCCTGCGTTCGGTAACTTCAATTCGAAACTACAAACAACATTCAATCGAAACAAAATTTAACGCAGACGACAAAAGGAATCCATCATCAACACCAGAAACAACGAATCAAGCTCCATAGAAACGAAAATGAAGCAAATTGAACCGATTCAAGCAGGCCAATCGAACAACATTCCAGAAAGAAGAGATCAACAAACCGGCCGACTTGCATCGCTTTTTCCGGCGCAAATCTTCCAGCTCCTTCTCTCTATCTCTTCTCTTTCTCTCTCCAAGTGAGCGCATGAAAACCAGACGGCAATGTGGCCTTTATCTCTTGCATTGCTTTGCACTCAATGAAAAGATTGCCTGCAATAAATGCTCACGCCATAACCAGACAGTACAACTCGCAATGCGTGAGGAACAAGCGCCCGCTACCGATGCTGACGCAATCTTTGTTTATTTTTTTTTATATATTTATTTAATTATATAAATTTATTGATGTATATACGCCATTGCCAGCCACCCTAAATTAGCCGTATTCAATAATAGTTTGGATTTTTAATTAAATTAAAATATACTCCCTCATGGCTCGTTTGATTTATGACTAAGGTTAATTAGTTAATTATAGTAATTTATAATACTCTCTTGGTCCAATTTCTATTGTTTTTATATTTGCACTGATTATTTTTTTTTTGTTATTAATTGACAAATTTGTCTATACGGTAAAAATAGAAAGTACTAAATGAATAAAGGGTAAAAATATAAAGTTTATGTTAAAAAAAAAAAGATCATTGTTGTTCGACGTTCTAAATAGAAAATAGGACATTAGTTTATGAAAAATTAAAATATTTGGGTCTAGCACGAAAATTTAAAAAAAATAAATATTTTATTGAATAAATGATAAAAAATAAAAAGGTAGTTTAAAATATTTTTGAAAAATAAGTTAAAAATAGTCTAATTTGTTGTAAATAAGTATTTCATGGAGAATAATATTGAGTCTGTCAAAATTAATAATAAAGCAAATTTAGAGGACAGACTGAAAAAAAGTCAAAGTCAGAGTTAATTTGGCTGCGAACTGAGATGGTATTTTTATATGAATAGTATTATTGATAATTTTAATATATATAATTTAAATAAATTTAAAATTTGTATTTAAATATTTTAAATATTATATTGCAATAAGATATATTTAATATGATTATCGAAAATAAAAATTAAAATATGTAAATAAAGAAGATAAAGAAATTATAATATATATATTTGTTTAGTGAAAGAGAGACCGAAATAAAAATAAAAATAAAAATAAAAATAAATGAATTTAAATTTATATTTTTAAAAAGTATTTAAATATAATAAATTTTATTAAAAATAAAAGTATATCAATCGAATAAGACAATTAAAATAGGAGTTTGTTTTTTCTCTACTCATTATAAATGATCGATTCCGAATGCTTTTATATTTATTATTTTATTTTATTTTTCTGAAAAAGGGAAAATCTAAAAAAGAAGGTGCGGTTAAATCTCTCACGTGCCGCGCGTGAGCTGTCAGCGTAGTAAGGAGACACGCGAACCTCGTCAGATAAAGGGGAGGGGTTCCAGTGCGGTGAGCCACACCATAACAATTAAAGAAAAAAATAAAATAAAATTAGATTTTCCAATGTGACTTATCTGTCGGACTTTTTTTTTAGGTTATTAATTCGAGTCGAGATTTACCAATGTACGTCATAAAAAATAAATAAATAAAATTAAGTTCGTCTAATATGATTTGCTTGTTAGACCTATTTACAAGATATTAATTCGACCGATGATTTATCAGTACGTATTTTCGATAACGTCTGCAGTTTCCGCGTTATAAAAATAAAAAATAAAAATAAATAAAAGTGTGGTTCGGGGGTTGGCATACCAAAAAACTTGTATTCCTAATATTGGTGGAAATGATATGAAATGAGGCTGGGTAAGGGTAGGTCTGTTTCGACCGGAAACCTGTGGGACCGGTCAGTGGTGGGGCCCACCAGAGTGGATGATGGATGAGTTGTGGGACCCATTCCAATTATTTTTGGTAAAAGTTGGAAGGGGCAAAGGGGTCGTCCGGTTTCTTGTACTTTACTCATCCTGTCTGTCTGTGTGTCTTTCTTAAGGGTAGTACTCTATGTATATATGATTCTTAATGAATTGTGTGAAATCAATAATTTATACACATGATTTAAATTTTCATTATATATACTCCCTCAATTCTGGTGTAAGATTGTCATTTAATTTTTGCATGTAAATTTTTTAATATTAAAATTATAATAAATTATAATAAAAAAGACGAAAATGCTATTATTAGTATTATATAATATAAAAGTAATGACATTTATGTAATATAGTGTAAGTTGAAAGAGTATTTATTATCTAGTACAATTACTAAATTAAAAAATAATAACTTTGTTTTGAGACAAAGAAAAAAGAAAAATGGCAACTTTTCAAAGGACGAAGAAAATATATATATATATATATTTCACGCTGATCGACACATTTACGTATTAATGGTAAGTTGATAACTTCTAATTGTCATTTTATGATTTCAATTGTGTGTTTCCTTAGGGGTCGGGGAAATTTGAATTAGGGTTTGATTTTTATTTAAATTTTGAGGTGAATTTATATTTATGTTTTTCTTTTGTATTTAAGTTTGAATTTAATTTGAAAAGTTTTTATGTGTATTGATTTTATGGTTATAAATATAATAATATAAATGTGTATTAATTTATATAATTTAATTATAAATTTATATTATATCCATATATATTTCTAAACTTTTATTTATCTGTATTATAAAAAAAAAAAATTTTTACAAAATGACTATATATATTTTATTAAATTATATAAATTATAATTTATATTCATAATTTAAAATTTTTTTAAAAAAAAAAAAACAAACAAACAAATAAAACTAGATTTGGACAGAGTCATGTAGAGGCTAATTTACTGTGCAAATACTATTTGTACGGTAAATCAACCCAAACTTGGGCGGAGAACCACACCCAAAATTTGTATTATTATTCTTATTATTATTATTATCTTACGGTTATCGTAAACTATTATCGTACATTATTATTATTATTATTATTATTTCTGTTTCGTTGAATAATTGTTATTTTTTATTTTCGTCAGTCTCAAAATAAAATTATTATTTTTTAATTTAATAATTATACAATATATCTAATATAATAATTATCCTTCCAACTTACAATATATTATACAAATATTATTACTTTTATATTACACAAGACTGATAGAGATATATTTGTTTCTTTTTTTTTTTTTACTACAATCTAATATAATTGTTGATGTAATTTTTCAACAAAAATAAAGTAAAATTCAAAGATATGGAAAATATCCTTAAACTTGATTAATTAGTGCATGAGATTAGGAATCTCTAAACACTGTAACGTACAGAAAATAAATTGGAAAATAAAAGACTGAAATTTAAAGTGGTGATCCCCAAATCTGACTTTGCTTTGTTGAAGTTGATTGAAGATATCCTGCCAAATGATTATCCAAGCCTTTAAATATCCTCTGGGAAACCGTACCGAAAACCGTCACCCGAACGGTTACAACGTCTCCTTCCAAACCGTCTTCCAACCCTTCTCATGCTGACACGCGTCCTCAGCAGACCAAAATTATCCCTATATTTCACTCTTTGATCCGACCCCAGACCTTCCGCTCTTTTGGCCCGACTACCAATCTACAATAGTATGGGTCCGACCGCCAATCCTCCCGACTTGCGAACCATCTAACTTGAGGTCTTTCCGCCTTGAGGACTTCCCGACCTGAAAACCTTCCGACTTGAGGTCTTTCCGCCTTGAGGACTTCCCGACCTGAAAACCTTCCGACTTGAGGTCTTTCCGCCTTGAGGACTTCCCGACCTGAAAACCTTCCGACTTGAGGTCTTTCCGCCTTGAGGACTCCCCGACCTGAAAACCTTCCGACTTGAGGTCTTTCCGCCTTGAGGACTCCCCGACCTGAAAACCTTCCGACTTGAGGTCTTTCCGTCTTGCGGACCTCCCGACCTGAAAACCTTCCGACTTGAGGTCTTTCCGTCTTGAGGACCTCCCGACCTGAAAACCTTCCGACTTGAGGTCTTTCCGTCTTGCGGACCTCCCGACCTGAAAACCTTCCGACTTGAGGTCCTTCCGTCTTGAGGACCTACCGACCTGAGGTCCTACCGTCCTAATGACTTTCCGTCTTGAGGACCTACCGACCTGAAGACCTTCCGACCTGAGGACTTTCCTTAGTAATAAACCTATTTTCCTTGATTTCCTCATGGTACCCTTCAGTCAGTTCAATCAACTCTATTGCCAGGCCCATCCTTCTTTTTACCTTGGGCTTTTAACCTAATTCTAAATTTCGTACGTAACAATAATATTCCATTTGTCTCTTATAAAGAGTAACGTTTACTTTTTTTCACACAAATTTTTTTTAATATTACATTATATAAAAAAGATAAAAATACTCTTACTAGTATTGTGTAATATAAAAGTGGTGACATTTTTGTAATATATTATAAATTAGAAGGGTATTTATTAGGTTAAGTATGTAGTATAATTATTAAATTAGGAAATAATACCCTTGTTTTGGAATGAACAAAAATAAAAAAAAAATAAAACCTCTTTTATAGGACGAAGTGAGTACTAATATTCAAAAATCTTAATGAAAAATTAAACTGCAATTTTTCAATTGAACAAATGAAGTATTATGTTTAATATATACTGACTATTATATTATTAATTCATATATTAAATTTATATATATTAAAATATATTTCATTCTAAAATACTTTTATATTTTTTAATAAATTAAAAAATAATAATAATAGTATTTAATTTTGATATTTTTATATGATTATTTTTATTATAATAAATTTTTTAAAAAATAATACTTTTAACTAGATGAAAGACATACTCCCTTGGTACCGTGTGGGTACCATTGTACTATAAAACACTAATAAAAATATTTATTTATTTTTATTTCATTTTTAATAATATAATAATTAATATTCAAATATCAAATATTTTTTTTTGATTTGTAATACATTTCAATATAATAATTAATATTTAAATATCAAACACAAAAAAAGTAAATATACCCCTTAAAGTCGAACGAAAATAATACTCCCCTGTCCCAATACAATAGTCTTGTTTATCATTTTTGGTCGTCCCAAAACCATAGTCTTATTTCCATATATAATCATATCCACCATAAAACCAACCTTATTTTTTATTTTTATTACACAATTGCCACTATTTTGTACACTAATATACTCACAAGAGCAAAAAAGTCTTTTATCTGTACTTTTTACCGACTATCAATATAATATCAATATTTCTTAAATTTCGCGCCCAACTCGATTAAAACTATAGTTTTGGAACAGATGGGAGTATTATATATATTATCAACACAATATTAATTCGTTCAAACACTCCACCAGACTTATAAACTAAGCCGTATGTTTCTTTTGCTCAAAACCAAAAGTTTTACTATATGAACTCTGCGTTTCCCCAAAAAAATATATTTTTTTTTTCTCACAAAACATCCAATCATAGATTACTTTAATATCAAATTCAAATCAATTTTTTTTCAAATTCAAACCAAATTTTTTTCAAACCCATCTAAAGAAACTCACAACTATTATATATATATATATATGTATGTATACATATATGAGAGGGGTGGTGCCGTGGCGGTATGGGGAGATTAGGGTCGAAAATATAGTTGGAAATGGTTGAGAATTTTGGTTGATGTGATGAATAGTAATGAAACACCCACTTGTAAATTATGGATTATTTAATGAATTAATGAAATGGCAATTTTGATGAATGGTGACCAAACCAAACCAAACAAACCATCAATCAATGACACCAAAATGCCAAATCCGATGGGACATTAAATAAATAATTAAATCAATAAATGTGAGACTAAATCCATAGAGCTCAATGTGGGTAAAAGTTTAATTTGTTGTAATTCATAATAACAAATAACAATACTAACTCATGCCAACCAACCAACCAACCAGTCCAGTTTTGTCATGTCACATAATCTATCAGAAAGCACCATTTTCTTGATATTATTGTGCACAAAACACTTTTCATGTCATGAAATCCCAAGTTAGAGAGAGAGAGAGAGAGGAGAGAGAGAGAGAACAAACATGGCGTGCAATTTAAGGCTAAGGATTCACATACACACACAATTATTCCAATGTCAGGAACACAACAAAGTTAAATGTCACAGCCTTATCAAAACTATATAAATATATATGACCCCACCCCCACCCCCACCCCCACAAACAAAAAAAACACTAAAGCAGAATATATATGCAAAGAACCATAAGACAGATTTCAGACAATTCAGAAAGAACAAAAGCCCAATTCAAATAAAGCACCAAAATTCAAAACAATCTGTAAATTCAATGTGTGTGCAAAAATGTTTTGGGTAAGAGGGATCAAGATCGTACCTACAAACCCTGCAACTGTGAATTATTGAAAAATGTTGCCAAAACTGGGCCGCCAAATGCATCCGCAAATTACTCTCAGCAGAAATAAGGAGGGAAATTTTTCATCGACATCTAAATCATCAAATGATCTTTAATTTAAGCTCCACCGGACCCATATTTCTTCCCGAATACGATCACCTGAAGTTTGTCGTAGCCAGCGAGCACACCAGCGCCAGCAACGGCGCGAAGAATGTTAGCGCCAGCACCCTTGAACAGGGATTTCGGGCCCTCGTTCTTCAAGATTTGAGAAAATGCATCTAGCGAGCTCTTGTATTTCACGGCTTCGCCTGATGTCATCATCATTCTTCTTCGGACAGTGTCGATCGGGTAGGATGCGAGGCCGGCACCGTTTGTAATGAGCCAACCGAGGGCAAAGCTAGCAAAGAAACTATCCTGTTGTTTGGATGTGGAAAAATATATTAACTTTTTGCATCAAACGCCAACGAAAAAATTAAAAAAAAATCATTGAAATTGTGGAAGACGCGGACCTGCAATGATCCGGTGAGGAGCACAGGCTTCAAGGAATCGTACATTCCGAAGTACAGGCCACGATACACGATGATTCCGACACAGGAGATATTGAAACCGCGGTAAAGACCGGCAATGCCATCAGATTTCAAGGTCTTTCGGTAGACATCAACCAAGCCATTGAATTGCCTCTCGCCTCCCTTCTTTGCAGCCTTTGCGTCGTTGGCGAGACGAGTACGAGCATAATCCAAGGAGTAGACGAAGAGCAGCGAGGATGCGCCGGCAGCACCGCCAGATCCGAGGTTACCAGCAAACCATTTCCAGTAGCCGTCGCGGTCTTTCTTGAAGTTGAAGAGTCTCTTGAAGTAGTCCTTGAAAGCAAAGTTCAAGGCCTGCAGAAGTGGAACAGTAGTAGTATTTAGTAATTTATGTGTGGGAATGTAATCGGAATTTACTGTAGAAATAAAAAATTATTCGTTGAACCTGTGTGGGGAAGTATCGAATGACATTAGCAGTGTTTCCTCTCCACAATGACATCGCGCCTTCTTCCTGAATCGTCCTCTTGAAGCAGTCTCCAATTCCCTTATATGGTTCAGACAGCCTTCCAGACTTGATCATTTCATCTTGATTTTGGATAAGAAGCTTTACTCGTTCAATAGGTGCAGCGGCAGTTTTTGACACAGCAGCAGAAACTCCACCCATTAGGAAATCAATGGCAAAACCAGTGAAGCCTTTCTCTTTGGGAGTAGAAACAAATACTGGCGAGACATTTGAAGAAATCTTGGACAGATCCTGGGTAGCTCTGCAGGTCATGGGAGATTGGAATCCAGGATTCGAATAATTGCCATAAGCAAATGGCACCTGGTACATCGAAGAAATCTTGCTCCGGGTATGAGTATCCTGGGAAAGAGTGCAGCTCAGGTGTAGCTGGTTAGCTACCTTCTGGGCAGTAGTCGGGTTCCGGTTCTGATCAGCCATTGCAGCTCTGGATTTAGGTCCTACAGCATGTAAAATTCAACAATTTAGCAAACAAGATTTTTAAATACCTGATCATCAGAACGTAATTTCTGAGGCGATAAAACAAATCCAATCCAAGTGTGTGGAAATACTTTGATGGATTTTACAAATGTCATAACCATCAATAGCACCATTGCAACTTCGGTCTCAAACAAGACACCACAGCAATCAAATATTAAGTGGTTGCAAGGCATGCAATGATGGAAATATTGTGATAAATGCAAACAAATCAAACCAAATAAACAAGTACATAGATGGATGAACTTGATTTCTTTCATAAAAAAGTTTTCCAGTCAATCCCACAGCCTTTTAAGCAAATCATACTGGTTTAACTACTGTGGTTTTCTGAAGAGACCTCAATTTAAAGAATTAATCAATATGGTATGCCGACCAAGTTCATTAACCATTATGATAAATGCAAACAAATCAAACCAAATAAACAAGTACATAGATGGATGAACTTGATTCCTTTCACAAAAATAATGCCAGTCAATAATCCCAGAGCATTTTAAAAGCAAATTGTACTGGTTTAACTACAGTGGTTTTCTAAAGAGTCCTCAATTTGAAGAATCAAACAATATGGTATACCAACCAAGTTCGCTAGCCATTGATTCAAAGAACTTTTCATCAAAATTGCATATACATTTTATACTCGTAGACCCAAATAGGCGACTGAACAACTCATTTTACGAGTTAGATTTTGATACTATTAGCCCACAACAGATCAATAATGATTGCAACTTAGGGCGTAATTTAGAGTAGCACACACGGCAGAATTGGCAAAATTTATCACTAACAATCAGAAAAGTGAATATATAGCACGGAAAAAGTGGTCTTTACAGGGATACAGTGCAAAAGTAGAGTACAAACCTAACCAAAAGATAAAAAACACCAATGAAATGGCGAAAATAATTTGATTGGACTAGGATACATCCAAGCACGTAACAAAACAGCCTCAAAAAGATCGGTGAACAATTCGTTGCCTGTAAATCAAAATAAATCTAGGAACAAACCCTAATCGCACATCCACGAAAGACGTAAATCAGATACAAATCAACCAAAAAAAAAAAAAAAGCCAATACAACAAATTCCAGATCCAAAGACACAGATCTAAACCAGAACATACCTTCTCCGTCAAAAACAACACAAAAATCTAACGCTCTAACACTCACACACAGATCTAACCCAACAGCTAATCAAAACATCACAATCAATACCTACTCCAAGCAAAATTAGTCCCAAAAATAGGAAAAAAAGCCTCGCAATCATACGAAAGCGACAATCCTGTTTCATCATCAATAGCAAACCAAAAAAAATAAACAACTGAACAAAATCTTACCCGCACTTGACTCGCCGAGGAGATGAGAACGAGGAAACCCTGCGGAGATAACTAGGAAGAAAACAATCGAACGCAGTAGGAAACGATGGCCCCGTATTTATGGCAACAAAATGACCTAATTCTCATTTATTATCATTATTATTTTTATTTTTATTATTATTATTATATCAAAAGTCTGCGGGCGTGTGCAATGTGACGAAAGTGTCCCTCCATGTCTAAGAGCCAAACTTTGCAATTTCTGCCTTTTCAAATCTCGTAGTGGTTTTTCATCGAATTTATTTTTCCATCACTTATTATTCCATAAGTAGCGACTTTGGATTCCATCGTAACCAAAAAAAAAAAATGTGAAAAATTTTAAGGAGCGGAACGAATGGGCTTCTTGTAATACTGCAAGAGAAGGGACGAGCACACGACGCTGATCGACGAGGCGGCCATGCACGCGCCGGCGAGCCACGGCGGGAGTCGAATTCCGGTGAATGGGAACAAGACGCCAGCGGCGATAGGCATCCCGAGCACGTTGTACCCGAGCGCCCAGACATAATTGATCCGAATCCGGGACATCGTCTTCCGCGACAGAACTATCGCGGTGACGACATCCTCCAAGCTGTTCTTCATCAGGACGATGTCGGCGGCTTCGATGGCGACGTCAGTGCCCGCCCCGATCGCCATGCCGACGTCGGCGGCAGCCAACGCGGGGGAGTCGTTGATGCCGTCTCCCACCATTGCAACGCTTGTCCCTTGCAACTGTGACAAAATTACGCCGATTATGGAAACAGTCGTATCGTATCGTACGTCGCATGCATATTTGAATTTACCTGCAGCTCTTTGATCTTGTCGGCTTTTCCGAGCGGATCCGTCTCGGCGTACACCTTTTGGATGCCGACCTGTTTAGCTATCGCTGTAGCTGTCGCCCAGTTGTCGCCGGTCACCATGACGCTCGAGATGCCCATCGAGCGAAGATGAGATACAACGAGAGTTGCTTCGGGCTTCACTGGATCGGTGACGGCGAATGCGCCGAGAGCCTTTCCGCCTACGGCGACGAGGACGCAAGTACGAGCAAGATGCTCGTTTTCGGAGACGTATCGATCTACCTCGCTACCGAGTGGGACGTCGAAATGATGCATAAGCCTCTTGTTTCCAACCAGGACTGTTCTTTCTCCGATTTTAACACTCACCCCTGCCCCGGGATGCACCTCGAAGTTCTTCGCCTCTGTAAACTGTTCGCTCCTCGATCCATACTTCTGTCGTGTAATTTTAGCATGCTCGACGACAGCTTTTGCGATAGGGTGCTCGCTATTTGACTGAAAATTCGGAAAAACATATCTAGTTAGTCATTCATGCCTATTACTGCACTCCAATTCATGAAATGTCGAAAATGCGAAAACTTGCCTCAGCAGCAATAGTAATGTCACAAAGATCTTCCATGGAGCCTTCAGAGAAGACGACAGAACTAACTACAGCAGGTTTCCCAACAGTCAGTGTCCCAGTTTTATCAAAAACGACAGTCTTGACCTGAAGAATGCGTAGCGTAAATCGATTACAACTAAATAATTGAAATCTACAGCATGAGAAAGTAAAACATCAACAAACAGCCAATTGAGGTTTTGTTTGACGATGATATGATTTCGAAAAGTACGATGAAAAATATATGTGCATCAACAGAAGGTAGAAAGGCTCAAATGGAAAATGAACCTTATGGGCACTTTCGAGTGCAGTTCCTCCTTTAATTAGCACACCTAAGGAAGCACCCTTCCCGGTGGCGACCATCACGGCAGTCGGGGTAGCTAATCCCAGGGCACATGGACAGGCTACAACCAACACTGAAATGCCAAACTGCAAAGCAAACTCGAATGCATCCATAGAAGTAGGTATCCAGGCTCTAGGATATAAGCCAGCTTCCCCAGGGATAAACCATCCCAGCCATGTTACAAAAGCAGCCAGAACAACCTGGTAAGTTATTACAAAAGTGAATAATAACCTCGATATCAAGAACTCAACCTCGGCAATGAATAATCCACGAAAAACTACAGATTGGTTTACATGAGAACAAAAATGAAGTTACTGCACAACCAACACATTGGAATGACTAGAGAGTACTAATGAGACTGTCCCTCAGATATATATATATATATTATAGAACCAAGAACTCACCGTGGGAACAAAGAACTTGGATATTTTGTCGGCCAATTTTTGGACGGGTGCTTTGGCAAGCTGGGCAGCTTCTACAAGTTCTACAATTTGAGAAAGTGTTGTTTCTGAACCAACATGAGTGGCCTTGATTCGGATATAACCATTTTCACTCACTGTACCACCAATAACCTGTTGAAGAAACAATTATGTATTAATAAAACGATGACACAATTCTGCGGACGTAATAATCTCCATACCTTGTCACCAGGCTTTTTAGCTACTGGCAGGGCCTCCCCTGTAATCATGCTCTCATTCACATGACTTTGGCCATCAATTACAAGGCCGTCGACAGGAACTTTGGAACCAGGAACAATCTTTAATATGTCGTTCTTCTCTAAGAGTTGTGTGTTGATTTCAGTTTCAGATATAACATTTCCGTCAGCATCAAGAGTTAAAAGGCATGCTGTCTCAGGTGCTAATTCAGTCAACTTAGCTAAAGCATAAGAAGTTTTTCCTTTAGCCAAAACCTCCAGGTATTTTCCCAAAAGAATAAATGATATCAACATGGAACTAGTTTCAAAGAAATCCTGCCCTTTGAAGGAATCTGAGATCAGCGCTTTTATCATTACATATACCGAATAGAAGTAAGCTGCATTAGTTCCCAAGGCCACCAGAACATCCATATTTGCAGATTTTCGTTTCAAGGCATTATACGCCCCTGCATAAAACCTGGAAGGTGATTAAAACCAACTATGTATATGATTTCTCAAACAATTTTGTATTTTAGCAGCCATAAAAATTATAACTGTTTGAGGAAATTAATGACTACCTCTTGCCAATTATAAACTGCACAGGTGTGCAAAGGATCCATCTTAGAAGAATCCCAATATCGAGCATATTGATAACCTTGTAGTCTAGCCAGTTTCCATAAGGCGGAAGCATTGGCAGTACCATAGCGAAAACAAAAATGGGAACTGAAAATAGACAACTCCACAAGAACTGATTCCGATACATAAGGATTTCATGTTGCCTTTCAGTGTCGCCCCCTCTTGGTGGAGTGTACAATGTAGCTTGGTAAGTATTGGGTTTCGATCCAGCTTCCTGGATGGACTGTATTAGAGATCTTGGACCAATTATGTCTGGCTCATAACTTACAGCTACTATATGACCTTCCACATCTATGTTGACCAGATTTACACCTTCCAAAGACTGGAGTGAACCTTGAATAATAGTAAAATCTTCAGGAGAAGTAATTCCTCCTAGTTTCAAATATACTTTACTCAAATCACTGCCAGAGGAGATGAGATCAGCACCAAAACCGGCATCCTCTTCAACTGCTTTAATAATACTGTCAATATTTGTGACATTTGGATCAAAATGGACTTTAGCTTCTCCGAGAGCTAAACCAACTGCTGCCTTTTTTACTCCATTAACCATCTTCAGAGCTCGTTCTACTGACTCTGAACAGCTTGTGCAAGCCATTCCTTTAACTCTTAACCTGCACATTGCATTGTCTTGCTCTGGAAATTCTGCAACTTCAAAACCTGTATCTTCCACTGCTTCTCTTATCACTTTAGCCTGAAAGACAGTGCGATTATAACTTATAAACAGTGTGCAAAAACTAGATAAAACAAAATGCAACTTTAGGGCAAAAAGCACTGCCCTATTCACACTACCGTTTAAACGTTCTTGAGTTATTGCTGCTAGAAACCATTAAATTGAGGAATTACCTACTGAGTAATCTTGTTTAGTTGAGTTTTTATATTCAATTTTTTGGTTGAGGGTGCTGAATCCCTTGTAATCGAGCTTATACAAAACCAAGGATAGAGAACAATTAAATGTTTGCTGCAAACATGAATGAACTAAGATCCAGAATCGAATTGTAAAAAGGTTTACTTGGAGGTCACAAACAACACAAATAGAACCAACTATGTTCTAGAATGTCAGCAGTTGAAATAACACATTGTTGGTGTGCTTCATTCATCAAATCAAAAGATTCCACCTAGCAAGAAGATATAAAGTTGACTTACACTGATAATTTCTGGTATATACTTCACAACAGCCTGACCTTGAAGTACCGACACCGCAACACTCTGCACACCATCAAGCCTTCCAAGTGCACCTTCTATCGAAGCTACACAAGCTGAGCATGTTATGCCCAGTACTTTGAAGACAAGAGTGCGAGTTTTTTTGTTCACAATCTGATCTGGGGGCAAAACAGTTATAACAACATCATTTTGATGCTGCAGAAGTGGCGAGTTCAGGTCATCCTTCCCATTTACCTCCATACCTTACATTAAAGGAATTCACAATCAGCACCTAAAAATCAGACGCACTCAAAACTTTGTAATGTAAAATCATGGTTAGTGACCTATCTTCTTGGCAAAACAGACAGAAAACTCATTCCATCATTGCTTGTTTGCAAATTTATACCATGTCCTTAAGCATAGAAAATCTCATAACAGTTTAGAAATTTGCAAAAAATAAAACTAAAAATCAACCAAATCATACAAACAATCCATTTCGAGCATCCTAATGCAGTTCTTATCAAAATTCCACGGCAACCAGAAAAGTAAATAATTTGGACAAAATACGATCTATATACCGATGAATTCAGCTGCTTAAAGCATCTACAACGCATACGTAGTTCATATAATCACCTTAGAAGATAAAACTCATAAACCAAAATACATCAAGCGACAAATTCCTGAACCAAAAACAAATAATCCTTCTTTCAACCAAAACTAGCGCGTGCGCAAGCTTATCAGAAATTCATACCAACATATACCGCAAGAATACCGGATTTCTAAAAGAGTAAAAAGATAACCCCGCGAAAAAAAAAAATGTTCCTTCTCCTTTTCCAGTGGAAAACTACTCCAAATCTCAAAGCAACTTTGCTCGTCACGTCAGAAATTTGGACCACAAGCCTCCCACTCTTAACGATCAAAAGCAAACGCAAAGAAAAAGCGAGTCCAGAGCCTGAGATGGACGACAGATAAGAGGCCGGCAGGCGGTTTCTCGATGGTTCCGCTAATGGAGAGGCGCCGCTGGGAATTGGGGAAAGATTTTTGAATTTAAAGTCATGCTTTATATATATATGTACACTCGCAGTGGCCGACTGCGGAAAGCCAGCGGGATAGGTATGCCACTTCCGCTTTTGCTAAGGCCGTGTTTGGACCACCGCTTTTTCCAAAATTTTCGAATATTTGCTAGCGCTCCCTCATCCACCGTCCGTTGCGGTTCGATCGTGGCCGTCCACGTCCTCGTCCGCGGTCAACTCTTGACTAACCTAACCGCTCACTGAATCAGACCCTAACCTCGCCGAAGAGGATTGAATTGTTTGATCACGGACAAATATTAAGGGGCTTTGGATAGAAATTTTAAATTGGGATAGGTAAATAGGTGTATGATGCGATATTTTTTAATGTAAAATTGATTTTTCGAATAATGTAAAAAATAACACCCTAAGGTATTAAAACTTAATAAATTAATGATACGGTGGAGTTCAAAAAATAATACTACCCCGTCCAGCAAAAACATCAATATTTTTTTTTTCACGTATTTTTTTATATTAGTATCATATTTGTTTAGAGTAAAAATGACAAAAGTGTCAGTATTAGATTGTGTGATATAAAAATAACGATACTTGTATAATATATTAAAAATTATAAAAATATTAATTATATTAAAAAAAAGTACAATTATTAAATTATAAAAAGATATTTTTATTTTGTGACGGACAAACACTAAAAATTGGTATCCTTATGATGAGATAGAGGGAGTCTTTCTTTAGTTTACCTATGAGATTTTTATTTAAGTTTACATAAAAAAAAAAATTAATATTTTATAGATATCTAATAAAATAAAAAATATATATATAATATAAAATTTGGTTTTAATATAATGTCTATTTTGTCATTAACATTGAAATAAAACTTATAAAACAAAAATAAAAAATATGAAAATTTTGATATTTATGTGAGTTACTTTTTTTTGGAGTTTAATATTGGACTAAAAAAGTAATATTTTAAATACAATGATAATTAAAAATAGCATAAAAATTATTTTGTTCTTACTTTTTAATGAAAAAGTAACATGTAATAGTAAAATAGAAGTTTTGTAGAAAAATAAAATAAAATCCATAGTTACTAAAAAGTGAAATATATACATTAATGTGGAGTGAACGAAAATATAAATATATATACTTTAATTCGGGGCAGGAAAATATATATTTTATTTTTTTTTTATAAAAAAGTAATATTCAATATAAATTAGTTATTCTTCATATCGTATATTAAAAAATATTTTAAATTAAAATATTGAACAAATAAATTTATTATTTTATAATTTTTTATGTGAGTTGTGTTATTGGTATTTTTAAAACTAAAACTAAAATATATTGTTAAGAAAAATAGAATATTTCTTTAAATATTTAAAGCATCATATCTCAATAAATATTTTTATGTGAGTTGTGTTATTGGTATTTTAATCGTTAGGGTTTCTGTCGTTATTACCGCAATAAAATATGGAAAGTAATGGACCCTAATTTATATTTTTATTATTAATTGATCTCATCACCCAATTAATAATTTTTCGGGTTCTGCACATAGAAGGCTCGCATTTACTAAATACATTAAGTCCTGTAAATTTAATAGATCAGTTAATATAATCTCAATCTGACTTATGGACCAAATAGTTACATTTAACCCACATATTTATAATCAACACCATCTCCTTTCTAGCAAACACATCAAGAAACATCACACCTCAATCTCAATAAAATTGTGGACAAGAAGATTTTTGATCCATGTTATCTAAAGGTTGGTTAGACAACTAAAATTGACAGATTATTTCAAATAACATGGTATAATCTAGTTGGTACGTGAATTGGCATTAGAAATTGGCAAAAGATGAGCATATGATCATGTAAAAATATACTCGAAGATGGAAGACTTAAAAGAAAATTTTCAAATAGAGAAATTAAAGATATCAGATGAAAAGACGAAGACTGTGAATGAAAAAACCTTTTTTACTTTTGGCAAATGGAAAAATTGATTTTCATTTCCTTACAGCCACCTTTCTTTTTTTTTTTTTTTTTTTTTTTTTTTTTTTTTAAGTATTCGTAGGTTGCAGAAAGACTGTCACAGCAACCGTGCTGCAAACTGAAATTGTGGACTTGGCTTTATCTTTTTTGTCTAATCCATTAAATGCCCACAAGAGACAAACTTGGTATTTGGAGGATGGTCAAACTCGTACATAAATATTGGAGAATACTCTATCTATTTCTATGCTAATGGAAATTAATGTGAAGGGTATTTATACGAAGGATGCATTGCATATAAAATCAAATAAGACAAACTTTGTGGTGTGAGAGTTGGTGTGCAAATCTTAGAAAGAAGATTATTGAGAAAAGCTCTCACCACCCCATTCAGTTCAACTATCCACATTTTGAATATGTGTTCTACACTGATATCAACTGGAGAGGTCGAAAGTGTTCGGAATTAATGGAGTTTCAACCGGAGGGAATGATCAAGCTCTGGACTTCTTTGCTATGTAGTTGTTGTTAGTACAAGGTTGTAGCAACGCGAACCTGAGGAAGTTGCCAAAATATAAAATCCAACTTTAATAATATAGGCATACATTACCAAAATGGAAATAAACACACAACTATGAACAAACTATGAACAAACATACATATTGCAGAATTCTATTTGATTCGTGAAAAAATATTCGACTATTCGATACGTGAAAAATACTCGTCTATTCGATTCGATATTCGATTAGTTTCGAATTTTAAAATGATATTTGTATTTGATTCTAAATATTTTTTAATTTATTCAATTTGATTTCAATATTAAATATTTAATTTAAGATGCGATTCGTTTTTGTCTTATCCAATTCGATTCAAAGCTATTCGATTTAGATTTTTAAATTAAAAATTTTAACAAGAATAATAAGACAACTTGATAATAAAATACAAATATTTACTGTTAATTTTTATTTTTTTTATATTGACACAAAAAGATTTTCATGCTTTAATATAAATAAAAATAACATGATATTATTATAATTATAATTATAATTTATATTATATAGTTATTTATATAAATTTTTAAAATTATTATATTTAATAAATTTAGTTTTTATTTATTTTGAAAAATACATATATGTATGCTACATTTTATACTATGTATGTACTTTTTTTTATTATCTAATTGAATATTTACAATATAGAATCGGAAATTAAAATTTTTATTTGTATTCCATTCATATTCAAATCGAATAAAATATTTTATTCAAATTCGAATCATAAAATTTTGAATCAAATATCGAATCGAACAAAATTATTTGATTTATTTACAATCCTTGCATGAAAAAAAGGGTATAATTTTCCATCTTACCCTAGAATAAAAGTTGTTTTTATTTTTATTTTATTTATTTTAAAATACACAAGCAAAAATATACATAATGTAAACAAAAGTATACAAGTGGAACAACTGGAGCGGGATGTAGTATAGGTAGAAGCGAGATGTCTTGTAAGTATATAAAATAATGTTGAGAGTATTTAAATATATTTTAAGGATACATCAAATTTATACTAGGATGGTTAATGAAAAAATAAAAAATAGAGATTGAAATTAAACCAATATTAAAAAGAAGGGAGTGCAGATCAATTTTTTAGTAATAGCGACTGACTTTAAATCTAATACTACTGACACCGGTTGAAGACCAACTCTCCCTAATATTAATTTTCCTTTGGATTGTAATCCTCTGGATGTAGATTTGTTGATAATCGAACCGGGTCAACAAACACCTTGTTTCATTGTTGTTTTATGTTCTGCATATTTTTCGTTGTTATAACGCCCTTCGAATGTGTTTTATTCGATAAATCACTTCCCAAAATTTGGTATGTGTTCTCTAAATCGTTGAATAAATCCGTTCACAGTTGCAAAAATACAAAAAAAAAATTATTATATTATATGAGAGATCTTCTGTATAATAAATGATACAATTGATATTTGTCTCCAAATTTGGGTGCGTTCATTTTGTATTTTAGTTAAAAAAAAAGAAAAAATTATAAAAAATTATGTAAATAATTATAAAAATAATAAATATATGGAATATATTAATTTTTTTAAAAACAAATATTCGATTTTTTTTTAAAAAAGAAACCAACCCGCACGTGTATTTTTATCTTTAGTTACAATAATCTTTTTCGAAACTTCACATTAAACACCTTTCTTTCTTTTTTTTTTTTTTTTTCTCAACCAAATTATCGGATTGCGTAGAGAGCCATCAAGGGAGGAAAGTGCTGAGTTAGAACTGTTCAGCATTCCGCAGACCGCCGCCGGTTTGGATTTCGCCGGCGAACGATGAGCCGAAACGACGGCGTTCGCTTCATCGCTTCTTCCATCCAACTCCCTTCTCCACATCCCCAATTCCCCTCATTGTTTTCTTCTTTCAAATTCGCCAAATTCCCATTCAATCTCACCCATTTTCAGATTTTCCCTCGCAAATTGAAGAACTGCCTTCAATTCGGCGCAGCGGCTCCCCTATTTTGCTCTGCCTCATTAATTTTAAACGATTCAGAGACAGCGGTTGCATCGTCTCGATCGAGGAGCGAGGATGTGTCCATCTCGGCAATTCAGAACAAGGACAGTGGCACCATCGACGCGACTCCATCCGAGAGCGCGGGCAGTAGCAATGGCGCGGAGGAAGAGAGGGTTATGATCAGTGAAGTGGCGGTGAGGAGCAAGGATGGGGGAGAGCTCGAGAGTAAGGACCTGGAAGCCGAGGCCATGTCTCCTCTGCACTTACAGCTCGCGAGGTTCAGGAAGATGTGCACAGAATTGTCGAAACTGGGTACTTCATGTCTTGTATGCCGATTGCGGTCGACACCCGCGATGGCATTCGTTTGATTTTTGAGGTATTTCTTCAAACTGTTTAAGCATTACTTTTACTGTACAATTTTAAGTGTGTATACAAAAGATGTATGATATTGTAAAATTTCATTGTATTGTAGTACTTGATGTAGTTTCATCATCTTTTGAATTGTTCAAATGGCGCACAGTTGTGATACA